GAAAACTGATCGTCATGTGAAATGAATCCAAACACAATAGTCTGGCAACCACTTGCCAAGATATGACTGCAGAACTACATTTTACTAAACATTACCTGACCAGCCAACTGCCATTTTTCTATCTGCACCATAGAACCTTTAGTTTCTGTCTCACTATCAAAGGATGTAGGTCCTATCCACTTATACAATCTTATAACTCTGTCAGAATATCCCATAGCCAACTCTAACTTCCCATCTCCGTCTGGAAACGAACATTTTATAACATGTTAAAAAGCTTACATAAAGTGGATGTACTCTGGGTAAATCAGTACTATGTTAATAAAATTATATTTACTGAAATTTTCATTATTAATGATTAACATTTATGTTACATTGTCTTTTGTACAATTATTTGATGGCACACATGGAAGATTGTTTTAAATGAAGCCTTTACTATTTTTATCATTGTTATAAAAGAATGAACTGCAGCTTGTCATGATAAGCAAGTTTCATAACATGTTAAAAACCTTTAGAACATTTGAATAATGGACTACATTAAGGTTTTTTTACATAACAACAACAATGAGGATAGCTCAACTTTTTCTTTGAAACAGACAAGCTCGAAATAAATAAAATCAAGCATTCAAATAAATCTATTTTTTCTTCAAGGAATTGACATTCTTAGAAATATTATTAACATCTATCAGTGTATAATATCACTCACCATAACAGGGGGGGGGGGGAGTGGTTTGCCTCTGAACCACAGGGATCTTAAGTTAGAGGCTTACTTAGTTTGAATAAACCTGAAACTCTTTCATGACCAAAAAAATCTCACTTCTTGTCAAATATAATTGACATAATCATCTTATATCTAATCAAAACAAAATCATTGTGCTCTATATCATAACTTACCTACATCAGCTGCCTGCATAACTTTACCATTAGGAGGTAGATGTTGTGTAAATATTGGCTTTAAATTGTCACCACAATCCTCATCATGACTCTGCGAAAAATGTAAAACATATCTTTATTAGAATTGATCAGTATGTGATTAAAATAAAGATTAAATACTTTGAGTTGTAGTTACAGTAAGATTAAATATATAGAGGATATTGAATGAGTGTAGCTTTAATACTAAATTTATTGAACAAATTGAATAAAATCACATTATGCAAACCTCTTGAAAGCAAAATATTGTTTTATTCAATGAGTAAAGATTGAACCTACAGTACACAAATATTAAATTCTATTTACCACATATTAAACTAAGAATGGTTTTACAGATTAAAATTTTTCATTGATGTACCTACAGTGCAATACTAACATTAGCATGCTTTATTGCTGTTTGTACACACGAGTGAAGTTGGTTGACCAGTTTGTTTGTTTGTTTCATTTTACGCCTTTTCCCAACAGTATTTCAGTCATATAGGCGGGTAGTTTCCTAACCATCATTCCTGGAGAGTTACATCAGTACCACACTACCTTCCTCCGCGCTAAACAACCAAAGTATTTCCCGAGGATCAAACCCATGCCAGAGAGGTAACTGGATTAGAAGTCATCAACTCTAACCCCTCGACCACGGAGGCGGTCTTGGGTGACCTGAGTATAGAACCTGATACAGCCTGGCCTGGCTCTATACACGTGCCACAGACTTATCACTTCAATTCCAGCAAGGTACAAATGTAAAGTGTCTGCTATAAATAGATCAGATATCATCTATATTTACCTCATGTCCTTCTCCATCATGGAAATCCACTTTGACATCAAACAAATAAAACCAACCTTCTGCAGTCAGGCAGTACAAGTTATTCTGTAAAATACATATATCAATATTTTTCATGTTCTATTACCTTTCTTTTAGTCAAATTTTGATACAAATTTATATAAGACCTTGACACTCAAAGTCACATTTGAATTAATTATCATTACTAGCACTGTTTACATTAATAAAATCAGTTTTGCATGTGTGTAAAAAATGCAAATAATCACCTTTCCTCTGCTTAATATATCACTGACACCAACACATGTTATCTGTAATAGGGTAAATGTAACATATTAGTCATGACATCATGATTTTAGGAATGCCATTAATGTTGTTTTATTAGGAACATTTTTATTCATTCTTTGTTGGGTTTTATGTTGCACCAAAACAGTTGACTTTCCAACTTTACTGGCACCTCCTTGCATCATTTCAGACTTGAATGGGCACCTGAGCGAACCATCAACATTCTATAAGCTAGCTAGAAAGCTTCCTCACTTGAAAAATTGTGTGCCAGGCAGGTTTTGAACCCCTAGTGGGAAGAGGCAAGTGGCTTGACCCAACCGTTCAACCATGGATGCCCTCATTTGGAATTGAGAAAAAAAACTAAAAAGCCAATTTGGCTGGTTATAAATAGAATTTACTGAACAAAAAAAGTTTCGAACACTGTATGGTTGACTGCAAGCTCATTTAATTTGGTATGTATTATTTCTTGCATGCACAGGAAGTAGACATGCTTACCCAGTATAGATTAGAAAAATGATTCTCACCATGCCCAAGTTAGAACAGGTCCTCCATGGGGTAGGTCCTCTACCTTTGAAAACTGCCAGCATCCCATCTACATTACCTACAGCTAACTCATTTCCCTGTCAATAAATGAACTGTGTGAGAAAGAAAATACAAAAAAAAGCAAATAAGTCAGCTTCAATGACTTAAAATGATGCCTTTAATTTCATAAACTTTGACACTGTCCCATGGTCTATTCCAGAATATACATTGTAGCAAAATCGTGATTTAAAAAAAAATACATGTATATATTTACAGAATGGGGATTTAAGAAAATGCTCATCAAACATAATGATAGTATCTTTCGGACAACGGCTAAGTACTGTGAACAAATGCCAAGTGTCCACTTTCCCCTTGGAGGCCTCATCTGATGGATTAGGGCCATGCCCTTTCTAAGCCCCTCTTCTTTTGACAATCTTTCACTACTCCTTCTTATTGCTCTCACCACTTCTATGTTTAATCATATACATTTATATAGAGTTCTGTTCACTCTGCTGTATAATTTAAACAGCATAATTTTTCAATAACAACATTTTAAACTTTATAGGGAATGTCTCCGGTCCAATGTTAGTCTAGTTTTATTTTAAATTCATTAACACTTTTTGAGTCTACTATGTTTTTTGGCAAATTATTCCATGTTTTAATTACACATCTTGAAAACTGATGTAAGCAATGAGTTGTTCTACTACGAGGCATTTCTAGTTGTAAATTATATTGTCCCCTTGTTGATGCCGAATAACTAAAAAAAAATTCAAAAACACAGTCATCTAAGCCTTTTACTATTTTGAACCTCTGAATCATAAAGCCTGAAACAGTTTATTGGAAACTTACTCAAGTTACTGAACATTTTAATAGTGAGCTTGAAGAGCTGGCCTGCTTGCAAAAGCGAGCTTTTACGGTAACGCGATTACCTGCTAGATAGTGATGGGTTCGAAAACTTTCGTTTGAAATACTGAATTGACACATCACAACTTTTCGAATTCTAAGAAAACGATAAAAGCTGATGTATTCTAATTGAAACGGAAGCGTACACTGGTTTCCTGCGTCCTTATATGGGAACTATAATAAAACAGGGAACCTGAACAAACAGAAAAATAAAAATAAAATATCGAACGGAAAATGTAAATAAAAATGAACAATTGTTTTTTACTATTTCAGGGTGAAAGTATACTCTTTGCTGGTATTCTCGCGTTAAATCTATTCTTGCGTTATTTTTATTTTTCACAAGGTTGAATCACAGCGCCACCTATTGTAAATATTTGTGACCTACTTTTATTCAGCAGTGTTTTGAGTAACATTTTACAGTAATGAACCGACTAAAGGTAAGTAAATCACAAATTTTACCTTGTAAATGCAAAACTTTAACTAAATCATTCACAAAAATGTCTCTTCTTTGGTAACTTTCCTCTATTTTAAGATTGACATCTTCCGTCTGCTGACAGGACTCCATTTGTTTGTTGTTGTTGTTTGCCTAAAACTCCAAAACCTATACCACACCATAGTTTTTTTTTTTTTTTTTTTTTCAGGGTTCCTAAAGCAGGCTTAAACAGCCATATGACAAGGATAGCCTTAAGAGAGCCTATGCAGCTTGTGTTTCAAATGGCATGTCTGTTTATTGGGCATCTAGAGTGTACCATGTACCGGAGTCTACTTTGAGAGACAGGACTAGACATAATGTCACCCTTGAGGCACGTCCTGGACCAGAGACTCTATTGTCTTCCCTGGAGGAGGACAAGTTAGCACAGCATATAAAGTATTTGGCCAGTATCAGATATGGCTACAGCATGACCAACATAAGATTTATGGCTGCTGACTATGCCAGGTCAATGGGGAAGAAAGTTGTTGCCGAAGGATGGTTTAAGTACTGTGTGGTACTATAGTTTCATGAAAAGAAACCCAGACTTGAAAGCTGTCAAGCCTCAAAAGCTTGATTTGGCCAGAGCTAAAGGTGCCTCTGAAGAAAAAATAAACAACTATTTCAAACTAGAACTCCGCGAGTCGGATGTGTCGCCTTGTGAACATGTAGTTTAGGGGAAATGGCCAGGACAAAAATGAAATATGAAAAATAACAAAGGGCAATAACTAAAAAAATAATATGTGCAGAGCAGCAGTTTCTGTACACTGCACTTCTCATCAAATTCTATGATGTTTCAAGTCCATAGATTTCATACTTGAGGAGAAATGACCAGGACAAAAATAAAGTAAGAAAATCAATAAAGGGCAATAACTCAAAAATAAGAAATGCAGAGTTTTAGTTCTTATGCACTGCACTTCTTTATAATGAGATCTATCATCCTATGAAGTTTCAAGTCCATAACTTTTATATTTCGGAGAAATGGCCTGGACAAAAATTAAGTATGAAAATTAACAAAGGGCCGTAACTCAAAAATTAGGGCCATAACTCAAAAATAAAGAAATGCAGAGTACAGATTCTTGTGCACTGCACTTCTTAATAATGAGATCTATCATCCTATGAAGTTTCAAGTCCATAGCTTTTATACTTAAGGAGAAATGGCCCGGACAAATTTAAAGTATGAAAATAAACAAAGGGCAATAACTCAAAAAATAAGAAATGCAGAGTACCAGTTCTTGTGCACTGCACTTCTTCTTAATGAGACCTATCATCCTATGAAGTTTCAAGTCCATGGCTTTTATACATTAGGAGAAATGGCCCGGACAAAAATAAAGTATGAAAATTAACAAAGGGCAATAACTCAAAAATTAGGAAGTGCAGAGTACTGGTTCTCGTGCATTTCTTCTTAATGAGATCTATCATCCTATGAAGTTTCAAGTCCATAGCTTTTTTAGTTGAAGAGAAATGGCCCGGACAAAATTAAAGTATAAGAATTAACAAAGGGCAATAACTCCAAAAATAAGAACTGCAGAGTACCTGTCCTTGTGCACTGCACTTTGGGTTATTCAAAGAAGCATGCATACCAAGTTTGAAGTCAATCAGACTTATAGTGACTGAGTTATGCTCCGGACAAGCTTTAGGGGACGCCGACAACGACTCCGACAACGACATAGACGCCGCCGACTCCGACACCGCCGACAAAAGTAACCCCTATATGTCACCTTTTCAAGGCGACACAAAAACTGAAGAATATTCTAGATGACAATGACTTAATCAATTCACCTGAAAGAATCTATAATATAGATGAAACAGGAGTAAGCACCCAGCACTCACCACCTAAAATAGTTTGTGGGAAAAATGATAAACCTCAGGCAATTACCTCCCCAAGATCTTCCAATGTTACAATAATAGGAGGAGCAAATGCCCTTGGAAATCATGTGCCTCCTTTTTATATATTCCCTGGGAAAAGGTTTAATTCTCAGTTCATGGAAGGTGCTCAACCTGGTGCAGATGGTACAATGTCGGATAGTGGTTGGGTGAATGGTGAAATTTTTGAAGATTATGTCACGAGACATCTTGCGAAGCACTGTAACCTTGATTCTGTCTCTTAAGATAGACCAGCCACATTGATCCTGTATGATGGGCACAAAAGTCATTTATCGTTGACTTTGAATGAGTGGGCTAGACAGAGGAATGTGGTCCTCTTTGTACTTCCCCCACATACCAGTCATCTCACGCAACCACTGGATGTTGGTGTTTATGGCCCATTCAAAGCCTTCTACTACACAGAGTGTCAACTGTATTTGCAGCATAACCCGGGTGTATACATCACCAAATATGAAATTGCTTCACTAACTTCTAAGCCGTACTTGAAAGCTTTCTCTCCATCAAACATCACATCAGCTTTCAAAAAAATCAGGAATATATCCATTTGATGAGTCTCAAATTTCCAAGAGTGACACTGCACCTTCATCAATTTATTCCAGTGAAAATCATGATCAGTGCCAGGGACTGGATACACAAGTTGAATCAACCGAAAAGGCACCACAGCAACCAGAAGAGCCCTCTGACTCGCAAGAAACCATTTTGTATGATGAATCTGTCACTTTCTTTGCAAAGAGACAAATTAACACTGTCAAACAAAGACCTAAGAAAAAATTCATTCCACCATGCATAATGGGAAATCTGTTAAATGAAAGAAATACACATATTCTGCAAAATCAAAGGAATTCTAAGGGTGCCAAATCTGAGAAAACTGTTCAAAATAGACAAAAAAATCCCATACAAACTCCGTCTAAGAAGCAGAGGAAGAGTAAGTAGCATGAAGAACCAGTTCCTAGCACATCTGGAACATCTAAAACAGGGGTACCTATTTCTTTGGACTCTCCTGGCACATATGTCAGACAGTGATACTTATATTGAGATAGAGGAGAGAGACAAATGTTGTGTCTGCAAGCTCTACACACCCACTCAACTCAAGCATTGTGTTAGTATTGTCTTCACAAAGTGGGCTCAGTGTAATTTTTGCTCTCATTGGGTACATCTTAGATTTTGTACACCAATTACATTAGTAAGAAGGGCTACTGTGTTCAGATGCCCACATTGTGTAACTGAAGAATAACTCTTGTGACAGGAAATATTACAAATCAACTAACCTTGTGCTCAGACAGATTTGATTATAGACATGTTTTTGCATTAATTATAAAGTCACACTTGTTGAAACTTTAAGTACAGTTATTGTTCAGTTAATTGCATTAGGTAGTTTACACATCTTTGACATGCTGAAAGCCTACTGTATGGTATAGATTTTTACCGCGAGAATATAAATAACTTCTATTCAAATGTCAAGGTCAGGGTACCTGTTTATAAAATGGCGGAAAATAAAATTGAAATGTTTTATATCGATTTTTTTCATGTAGACTCACCGGACCTATGCTCGCCCATGCGCATGCCCGCCCAGATTTTGATTTTTATGATATAAACTTATAAAAAAAATTTCTATCTGAATCATGTGTTGTTGTTTCTTGATGCTGCAAGTGTCCTAGTTCTCCCCTTATTTTTGAAAAGTTTAACGGAAGTTGTTAGCATAATAAAGCAGACGAAAACGAAAACGGAGTAGGAATGAAAGTCCGAGATGCTAATAAAAACAACGAATCATGTGTGACTTTTAATAAAAATCTTAATAAAAATAAATTTAAAATAACAATTAAACATTGTTCTTACTTGTTATAAAGTTTAAGTCGTTCCAATATATTTAAAACAGTCATAAACTGGTATTGACACCAGCTGTCATATTGTTTTTCTACATGCAATTTCCAGGGCCGCCATAATAGACGGGTTTTTCCTTAAATCTGTCACTTTTGGTGCATTCATGGTGTATTTTTTGGTTTAGACATTGATTTATTAATAACTTAGTAGATAATAACAGCTTTAAATAAAAAATTAATTACTTTTTTCGTTTTTTAAAAATAACCTAGGTCTAACACCACTAATTTTCACCCATATTCTCTTCAGAGTGATCAGTATGCCCAGTATGCCCAGGTAACAAAAAAATCATGATCCCAAGACATTTGAAAAGGCAAGAAAGCTTTTAAAAGAGGAATATGACAAGTGGTGCCACTATGAGTGCTTGCCATCTAATGTGCAAACAGATGTAGATCTGAGTTTAGTTACCAGCACAAGGTGGTTTTGTAGATATTGTGAAGAGGAGTAATTGTTGGAGCAGTAGACCACACACTGTTGTTTTTGTTCTAGTTTATGTTTCTAGTTAGCTTTTTGAATTTGAAAAAAACAACTTATGTACATGATATTTAGTCACAGAAACTTTTTAGTCACAATCTACCAACAGCAGTTGACTATCTTTTGAAAAAATGAAAAGTCTACATAGTAAGTATATCTAAATAAGTTTTTCTCTGTAAAAATATAATTATATGCAAAAATAAAAATACCTGCTTTATATTAACAAATCAGTCTAAAAAAATGATGAATGATTCCAGGTAATATCCGTTTTATATTCGTAATATACCGGAGGGCTAGCATGGGTCTCCTCCCTTCAACATTTCAGAATATTAATTTGGTGGTGTTTAACCTGGCAGACAGTACCCGGATGTAAGTGTTTATGTTTTAAATTCACGAATTCGAAAACCTAGCTAAACGCCGTTTTCCGGTACTTTCTGTACATAGCTCTGGGAAATTCGCCTAATGGAGTGTAAAGCGAACTCGATGTTTTCGGCCTTTTTTAAAATCAAATTGAAATAAAACATTTATTTCTTTATTAGAAAATATTTGAATATCAATTTTATGAATAATTCCGTGCAAAAAATAAAGTAAATACACAAGTTTACGCAGAAAATAACCTTATTTATCATGGAAGATTCCACTTCGTTTGCTTAAATTTTATTGATTTCCATTAAAAACAATTTACTTTTTTGAAAAATTTGCTATAGATATTGAAGGAATATTGAAAATTTTCAAAAACATCAATTATTTTCACCTTAAACGGTAAAATAAAGATAGAAAAATAGAAATATCATGTAACTGTGTAATGTACTTCATTTGGTGTAATTCCCCAGAGCTAAATCCGTAACGTACCGGAAAACGGTGTTTAGCTAGGTTTTCGAAAAGGTCAATGGGTCACATTACGTAC